ATTCAAATGATCTACTTCATATTGGGTAAGTTGTGGTAGTTTGTATTCTTGAGGAATTTGTCAAATGTAAGTGTCTAGAGTTGTTTGTAGTATTTATTTATTATCTGTTTGATGTCTACAGAATCTTTAATGATATCCCCTGTTTCATTTCTGATATTGGTAATTTGTATCTTCTTTCTTTTTTTGTTGTCAGTCTTTCTAGAGTTTTGCCAATTTTATTGGCCTTTTTAAAAGAATCAGCTCTATGTTTCATTGATTTTTCTATGTTTCAGTTTCATTGATTTCTGCTTTTAATCATTATTATTTTCTTTCTTTTGCCTATTTTAGATTGCTCTTCATTTTGTAGGTCTTGAAATGAAAAAATATTATTGATTTAAGACTTTTAAAATTTTGAATATATCCATTTAGTGTTATAAACTTATGTTTCAGCACTGCTTTACCTGTGTCCCACAAATTTTGGTATATTGTACCTTAATTTTCTTTTATTTCAATGTATGTTTAAAATTTCCCTTTAAACTTCTTTTTTGACTTAGGGATTATTTAGAGGTGTTTTATTTAGTTTCCAAGTGTTTGGAGAGTCCCCTGTTACCTTTCTGTTAATGTTATTTAGTGTGACTTCATTGTGGGCAGAAAACATACTCTGTATAACTTAAGTTCTTTTAAATTTGTGGAGGTTAGTTTTAGGGCCCAGGGCATGATCTTTTTTTGGTAGATGTTATATAGGTACCTGAAAAGAAAGTGTATTCTGCTATTGTTTTTATTTTATTTTATTTTATTACATTTTAGGTTTTGGGGTACATGTGAAGAACATGCAAGATTGTTGCATAGGCACACATGTGGCAGTGTGATCTGCTGCCTTCCTCCCCATCACCTACATCTAGCACTTCTCCCCATGCTATCTCTCCCCAACTGCCTTCCCCCAGCTGTCCCTCCCCTATTTCCCCCACAACGGACACAGGGAGGGGAGTATTCTGCTATTGTTGAGTGGAACGTTCTATCAATGTAAGTTGGATTCTGTTGGTTGATGGTGTTGATGAATTCTTCTATGTCCTTGATCATTTTCTGTCTGGTTATTCTAACAATTTTGAGAGGGGGTATTGAAGTCTCTAACTATAATTGTGGATTTGTCTGTTTCTTCTTTTAGTTCTATTAGTGTTTGCTTCATATATTTTGCAGCTGTGTTTTTTACTGCATACCCATTTAGAATTAGAGTTGTCTTCTTGGAGAAACTGACCCTTTAATTATTACATGATGCCTTTCTCTGGGTCTGGTAATTTTCTTTGCTTTGGAATCTACTTTATCTGATACGATATAGCATATCCTGCTTCCCTTTGATTAATATTTGCATCAGACATCTCTTTTCATTTTGTTTTTTACATTCAGCCTGCCAATATTGTTGTGTCTGAAGTGAGTTTCATTTAGACAGCAGATAGCTGGGTTATGTTTTAAGATTTGCTCTCCTCATGTCTGTCTTTTAATTGATCTATTTTGACCATTTACATTTAATGTAATTATTGATAGAACTGAAGTATTCCATTTTCTTTTTTTTCCTTTCTATTCTCATTGCCTTTTCATTTTTCTGTTTTTCTTTTTCCTGACTTCCTGTGGATTACTTGAACCTTTTTTAGAATTCCACTTTGATTTATCTCTAGTGTTTTTGTTGTATCTCTCTGTGCAACTTTTAAAATGGCTGTTCTAGGAATCACATCATATTTATATATCTTAACATAGCCTAATGGTGTTGTCAATTTACAAGTTCAAGTGAATATGTGGAAGTCTTAACCTCCCTTATATCCCTGTACCCTCCCCCATTTATAATATAATTGTCTTAAGTATTTTCTCTACACTCATCTAGAATAATATAAGACAGTGTTATCGTTTTGCTTTAACCACAATATACGATTTAGAAATTCAACAGGAGAAGAAAGGACTACTGTCTTTACCTATATATTTGTTTATTAAGTTTTTTTTCTTCCTAATGTTCCAAGATTATTTAAGAGTTTCTTTTATGTTTACAGAACTTCCTTTAGCTACCCTTTTAGGGTAGGTCTTCTAGTTTTCCTTCATCTGAGAGTATGTTGATTTCCCTTTTATTTCTATAGAATATTTTTTGCTGGATATGATTTCAGATTGATAGCTCTTTTCTTTCAGCAATTTAAAAATATTGTAACTGTTTTTCTGGCCTCCATGGTTTCTGATAAGAAATCCACTATCATTCAAATTCTTTTTCCCTTATAAGAAAGTATCATATTTTTGGGGGACTCCTTTCAAGATTTTCTCTTTGTCCTTAAGTTTAATTATAATATGACTTGACATGGATTTCTCTGGGTGTATCCTGTTTGGGGTTTGCTTAGCTTCTTCAATTTATAGATTTATGTCTCTTGCCAAATTTAAGAAGTTTTTTAGTCATTATTTGTTTGAGTACTTCTTAAGGCCCACCATCTTTCTCCACTCCAACTCCATTGACATGAATGTTGGATTTTCTGTTATTATTCCTGAGACATTGCTCATTTTTTTCTAGTCTATTTTCTCTCTGTTGTTCAGATTGAGTAATTCCTATTGTTCTATCTTCCAGTTTACTGTTTAGCTCACTTACTGAGATTGTTATTTTGGTTATTATATTTTTAGTTCTCTAATTTCAATTTGGTTCTTCATCTCTTTTATTTTTTTGATGAGATTTTCTAGATTTTTGCTTTATTCATGTTCATCGTTGCTCACTGAAGCACTATTTTATGGCTGTTCTAAAGTATTTTCTTTAAATTTTTATATTTTGTGGGTACATAGTGGGTATACATATTTGTGAGGTACATGAGATATTTTGATACAAGCATGCAGTGTGAAATAAACACATCATGGAGAATGGAACATTCATCCCTTCAAGCATTTATCCTTTCAGTTACAAACAAACCAATTACATTCTTTAAGTTATTTAAAAATGTACAATTAAGTTATTGACTATAGTCACCATGTTGTAAGAAATAGTATGTCTTATTCATTCTTTGTAACTATATTTTTACCCATTTACTAATTCTACTTCCTCTCAGCCCCCTCATTACCCTTCCTAGCCTTTGGTAACCATTCTTCTACTCTCTATCTCCATGAGTTCATTTGTTTTAATTTTTTGATCCCCCAAATAAGTGATAACATATGATATTTGTCTTTCTAGGCCTGGCTTATTTTGCTTAACATGATAATCTTCAGTTCCATCTGTATTGTTGCAGATGACTGGATCACATTCTTTTTTATGGTTTGATACTATTCGATTGTATATATGTACCACACTTTCTTTATTCTTTCATCTGTTGATCATCATTTAGGTTGCTTCCAAATCTTAGCTATTGTGAACAGTGCTACAACAAACATGAATGCAGATATCTCCTCTATATACTGATTTCCTTTCTTTAGGAAATCTCTCTACCCAGTAGTGAGATTGCTGAATCATATGGTAGCTCAATTTTTAGTTTATTGAGGAACCTCCAAACCTTTCTCCATAGTGGTTGTACTAATTTGCAATCCCATCAACAGCGTACAAGAGTTCCCTTTTCTCCACATCCTCACTGGCATTTGTTATTGCCTGTCTTTTGGATATAAGTCATTATAACTGGGGTGAGATGATATCTCATTATAGTTTTGATTTGCCATTCTGTGATAATCAATGATGTTGAGCACCTTTTTATATGCCTGCTTGTGATCTGTATGTCTTCTCTTGAGAAGTGTCTATTCAAATCTTTTGCCCATTTTTAACATCAAATTATTAGATGTTTTTCCTATAGGGTTATTTGAACTCTTTGTGTATTCTGGTTATTAGTCCCTTGTCAGATGGGTAGTTTGCAAATATTTTCTCCAGTTCTCTGGGTTGTCTCTTTACTTTGTTGATTGTGTTTTTTTCTGAGCAGAAGCTTTTTAATTTGGTGCAATCCCATTTGTTTATTTTTGCTTTGGTTTCCTGTGCTTATGTAGAACTGCTCAAGAAATTTTTGCTCAGATCAGTTTCTTGGAGATTTTCCCCCAATGTTTTCTTGTAGTAGTTTCATAGTTTGAGATCATCAACTTAAGTCTTTAATCCATTTTGGTTTGATTTTTATATATGGTGAGAGATAGGGGTCTAGTTTCAACTTCTGCATATAGATATACAGTTTTCTCAGCACCGTTTATTAAAGAGACTGTCATTTCCCCAGTGTATATTTTTGGCTCCTTTGTTAAAAATAAGTTTACTGTAGGTGTGTGGATTTGTTTCTGGGTTCTCTATTCTGTTCCATTGGTCTATGTGTTGATTTTTATGCCAGTACCATACTGTTTTGGTTACTATAGCTCTGTACCATAATTTTAAGTCAGGTAATGTGATTTCTACAGTTTGATTTTTTTTTTTTTTTTTTTGCTTCATATAGTTTTGGCTATTCTGGGTCTTTTCTGGTTCCATATACATTTTCAGATTGTTTTTTTTTATTACTGTGAAGAATGTCATTGGTATTTTGATAGGGATTGCATTGAATCTGTAGATTTCTTTGGGTTGTATGAACATTTTAACAATATCGATTTTTGCAATCCATGAATATGGAATATCTTTCCCTTTTTGGTGTCCTGTTCCATTTCTTTCATCAGTGTTCTGTAGTTTTCATTATAGAGATCTTTCACTTGTTTAATTCCTAGGTATTTAATTTTATGTGTGGATATTATAAATGCTATAACTTTTAAAATTTATTTTTTATGTTGTTCACTGTTGGCATAAAGAAATGCTACTGATTTTTATATGTCAATTTCATATTCGAGTTTTGTAAACTGAATTTATCAGTTCTAATAGTTTTCTTGTGGAGTCTAGGTTTTTCCAAATATAAGATCTTATCATCTGCAAACAAGGATAATTTAACTTCTTCCTTTTCAATTTGGATAGCTGCTCTAAAATCTTTGTAGGACCATTCTAATATCTCTCTTTCACCTCAGCATTGACATTTATTGATTGTCTTTCTTCAGTCAGTTTGAGATATTCTTGGCTATTGGTATGAGGAATGATTTTTCAATAGAAACCTGAACATTTTCCTTGTGCAGGGGCCATGCTAATCTTCTCTGTATCATTCCAATTTTAGTATATGTGCTGCCGAAGCAAGCACGAAACCTGAACATTTTCATATCGTGGTCTCAGACTCTTCATTTCATTTGAACTTTCTGGTTTTGTTGGCCTTTTTGGTACCACCGTGGCAGGGGACGAGGGTGGGGGTTACCACTTTATTATTGCAAAGTGAAGGTAAAGACCATGTTCTTTACTTTGTCCTCTGTTGACAACTGACACATGAGGGGGCTGCTTCTTATTACTGTGAAGTGAGGATTGGAGTTCTGGCTCCCCATGTCATCTCCATTGACTCTACAGTGAAGGTGCTTTATTACTGCTGGATAGTCATGAAAACTTGGACTCTTTATTTGGCCTCCACTAGCACCACCCCAGAAGAGAGGAAAAGAGCCTTTTGATACCTGTCGGAAGACAGGGTATAAGTTCAGGCTTCTAGTGTTGTCTCCATGGACACCATGGTGTGAAGTGGGTTGGCAGCTTGTTACTGGCCAGTGGGATTGAAAGTCTTAGCTCCCTATATGACCTTCTCTGACATCACTCCAGAAGGTGTGTTAGACACCTCATTACAGTCCCTCAAGGGTAGAGAAATGGCTTCTACTTGGACTTTGCTGTCATGGGTAGGAGTGGGCCACAGGTTTTTGTTTGTTTATTTCTTTATTTTCTGTGATGTTTGTTGGTAGAGGAGTGGTTATTGTGTAAAATTTTCCTGTCTTGCTGGGCTGCTCCTTCTGTGGAGGTGTTTCTGGTCTGTGACTTTGATGTTTCTGGGTTACTGTTTTGTTTAGTTCCAAATCTGAGATATATGAGGCAAAAAAAAAAAAAAAAATTCCAGAGAACTCACCACTCTGTTAGTCCTTGGGCTTTGGAGTCTTTAGCCAGTCTGCTTACCTCTCTTTACTTTTCAGTATCTTTTTATCTTCATTTCATATATGATTTCCAAAGTTTTTAGTTGTACTTAATGGGAGAAATAGATATGTCTAAGTATGTCTATTCCATCTTCCCGGAAGCAGAAATATTGAATGAAAATACTTTAAATAAAAATTTTGTATAAAGCTGAATTTTCACTTAATTTAAAAGAATTTAATTATATATTTGAAGTATTTTTATAAAAATAAAATAATTTAACCAGACATGGTGGCTCATACCTGTAATTCCAGCACTTTGGGAGGCTGAGGCTGGTAGATCACCTGAGGTCAGGAGTTTAAGACCAGCCTGACCAACATGGAGAAACCCTGTCTCTACTAAAAATACAAAAAATTAGCCAGGTATGGTGGCGCATGGCTGTAATCCCAGCTACTTGGGAGGCTGAGGCAGGAGAATCACTTGAACCTGGGAGGCAGACATTGCGGTGAGCCAAGATTGTGCCATTGCACTCCAGCCTAGGCAACAAGAGTGAAACTCCGTCTCAAAAAATAAATAAATAAAACCATTTGTAGTTTTGGTATTCAAAATCTGTTTAGTTGACAATAAAAATATTGGTTTCATATATATCACTCCTACATACAAATTAAAGGGTAATATGATTTGTTTAATATTGCAAAATATGCCTCAGCTGCTACCTGCATCTGTTGTAAATATGGTGTTAATTTGTGAATATTCTAGAATCTCAAATTAGAATATAAAGTTAAGGAAGAAAATAGACATCTGGTACTATTAGGAAACAATGATTTGGCATGCAAGAAGTATTACATTTAAGCTGAAAGGAAGAATATGACAAGTTAATCTGTCTTTTCTCTTATACCTAAGTCCTTCTGCTGCTCAAACTGTCCCCATGGTTCACCGCAGGACAAACTCCACAAACCTTCCTGGAATTCAGATGCAACTGCCTTCTGTTTCAGGGATATGGGCAAGAGATGAGAAATGTTTCCCTGAGGCCCAAAGAATACTAGAAACAAGAGTGAATGTTTGGGGTTGTGGGTTGCGCTGCATCAGACCCCACGTGATGGAGGTGCTCATATCCTCTTCAATAAGTGTATGTCTGTATAATGTAAGAAATGAGAGAGCCTCTAACATGTAGGTCTGGGGCAGGGACCCTCTTACCCAGAACATAAAGGCGGTGCTGTCTCCCATTGGGCAAGTTTGGTTAATACTTTTAAGCTACTTACCATATTTTAAGGGCCTTCTTTCTCATCTATTTTCTTGTAATCTGGTGTAAGACTATTAACAGGGTAAATGAAGCAAAACTAACCATTTCCACATTCAACTGAGAATTAATATTAGGTAAACACAGATCAGGAGATGATGAGGTTCTTTCTCTGTAATTTGTGTTACAGTTTTAATGGCACGGCACCACTGTGTCTCTGTGTATAGAAACCATGTGGACAGAGAAAGATAGCTCTCCCCCGATTTGTTGGAAAAAGAACTTAATATTTTTTAATAGTCAATTTTTTAAAACTAGAGTCAAGCGCTTGATAATTAAAAATACATCAAGTGACCGAGAATAGTACCAGTGGTGTGTTTGGTTAGGTGACAGGATAATTGCCAGCCCTTATCTTAAGTTATCAGACTTAAATCTCCTTCCCATTTATTTTTAATTGGTTCTAGGCGTCCATCTATCCTTACTTTTGTGTCGAATGTCTTATATGAGCTAAGCCCATCTCCAATGGATACAATAAATCTTTCTATCTGGTTCATCTTTGTTTTTATGGTTAATATTTTTAAGTTATAAAACCAGACTCTTCAGAATGTGAAATATAGGAGTAAGTGTTTGCATTCCAGAATTACTCTGTCGATGTCTGAGAAAAGGCATTAGCTCTTGGGCATTAGCTTTTTTTTAAGAAATCTTTTTATTTATTTATTTATTTATTTTTTTCTTCCCCATTTATTTATTTTATTGCATTTTAGGTTTTGGGGTACATGTGAAGAACATGCAAAATTGTTGCATAGGTACACACGTGGCAGTGTGATTTGCCGCCTTCCTCCCCATCACCTACATCTGGCATTTCTCCCCTTGCTATCTCTCCCCAGCTTCCCACCCCCCACCGTCCCTCCCCTATGGGCATTAGCTTTTTGAATTACATTTTCAAAAAGCTCTGTCTTAAATTTTTAAAAATATTTTTATTTTCTCTGCTTTTAACTCCTGTTGATTTTTCACAACTTCCATAGCAGATATTTCTGAAAATTTAGATCTTTTCATAATGATTTCTTCTTTCTCCCAGATTGCCAATTAAATAGTGACCTGGTTTAAGGCTGTTACTTAAAGCTGTAATGTTGATGCAGAGCGTTACATGGTCCTGCTCACTGGCTGTGGATAGTGGATGAAACCTTTTTAGGGCAGAGAGGGGGTTGGAGATGCCTATAAATTTCTTATTAGGTTGGAGATGCTTCTAAATATCTTATTAAAGTTATAAACCTTATCCTCAGAAAAATGCACTTAAATGCCTACAGTTTTAGGGGAGTCACAGACATCCTGCAGTAGTAGTACCTAGCTTTCTTATAGTTTCCATGACCTCAGATTAAGACCATTCGGTGGCAGAGGCATTTGCAGCAGTTATAACATAGTGATGTCTTGGATTACCTACAAGATGCAGTGTGCTAATGCTGTTTGGGCATGTAGATTGAGGTAGAAAGTTCATTTTATTAGCCATGAATGTAATTGGAGGCTCAGTGCCTAAAGGATAGTGGGGAGAGAATGCTACAAATCAGAGATTGGGCTTATAAATGAAATGAGAGTCTTGCTCTGCTTTCTAATGAATTAGAATTAAAGTCATAATTATATTGGTGAAATGAAGAAAAAGGATCAACAGTGAAAGCAGCTGTCTTTGAAAGCTGATGCTTCTAAAGGAGCTAAAGGATTTTGGTTCCATTGCACACCTAGATGGGCTTCAGATATGCAAAGCAGGGGAGAGAACTACCGTGCTGTCAGCCAGAAGTGGGAAGAATTCTCAGGGGAGAGAGGGGGAGAGGAGCTGTGGTGTTGCACATTAAGGCATGGCCAGTGAGAAATCCCTGGAGAATGTTCAAGAAATGGGACATCTAGTATCAGATGTTAGGTTGTTTGCTGTGAGGTGAGAAAATGTAACCCATTCCTCATGACCTACAAACCATCAATAAAAATTCTGTTAACGTGCAACGCTTGTAAAAATGATTGCTTTTAGGTGAAAGGATAGGGTTGGGTGAAGAAGGTGCAGAATTAAGGAGAGAAGAGAATAAGAATTCAGCAAGGGCAGGAAATTGGGGCCAAAGGTGAGAATAGAATATAAGCTCCCTTGAAATTTGCAGAAATCTCAAAGGAGGCGTTAGATTTTTTCCCTTAGGCATAATATAGGGGTTTGAGCCAAAAAGATGTATATTTTAAAGAGCTTAGTGACCTGCACTGACCTCTGAGAAACATTTGTCTAAAGCTTTTACCTTTCTAGAGCACCATTATATTCATTCCCATCATTCTCCCTTGTCTGCACAAGCAGCTGAGTCTTTGCAGGGCTGGCAGGGGCCTGCCTTCTTAGTCTTCTGAGGTGGTACCTGCCCCAGGAAGCAGAGACTGAGAGAGAATGCAAGAGTGCTTTTAGAACGCGTGGGGAGAGAAGAGATTAATGCAGCTCTGAGAGTCAAATAAAAATGTGGGTGGGGCCTGAAAATTGGAAAAGCATTTTAAAGCTTTATTAAAAGGTGCCTAGTTTTGTCATATCTAATTTCCAGGTGCGACATCCCTGGGTCCTAAACGTGCCACTTTAATTTTTTCTGGGAGGAAATGTCCTGTAAGAATATGATGACCTGATCTGACCCCGATCTCTCCCAGGAATGTAGAGCCTTGAGTTTTGTGGGGCAAGAAGCAAGGTCTTATCAGGTCGAGGGGTAAAGTAGAAGTGGGGTGGGCCGTGATAATCCCTTTCTTCTTTTAGTCGTTGTCTGACAGGGCTAAGCCCTAGGACAAATTTGGTATGCTGACTTGCGCCATCTCAAATAAAAATAGGATAAGTACACCTCATCTCCCTTGCTTATTAGTGTGCCTTGTCCATGCTTTGATTCTGCACAGGAATTCCTTCCTGGGGAAATCTTTAGTGCTCTTTGAATGGTCTCTGGGAGAGGAAGGGAGGAAGGGGGAGGCTGATGCAGAGCCATAAAAGGTGGAAGTGCAGGGCCTGAAGATAAGTTAACTGCCTGACCTGTTGTTCTTTGGTCACATGGCCTGCATTCTCAGCCCTTTTCTACAAGTTTTCTGGAGACCTGGGGTGACCCCCTTCAGAGTGGGTGAGGACACGAGCTGTGACTGTACTAAGTGTTGTATTGCATCAGGGACACTTGCAGGGTTGGTGGGGGACATGGAAGTGTGGGGGAGGGGAATTGGCATCCCCTGTTGATTGGCGGTGATGACTCAGTACTGATGCATGCACTAGGACATCATGAGTGCATTTCACCTGGAATGATCCACTTGACAAGTATTTATTGGGGGCAGGTAATATGCCAGGTGTTAGGGATGCAGAAATGAAAATGGAGCCTATGGCAATTTCTGTTCTAGGTGGTGGACTACAAATTGGAGCAAAGGCTTACAAGACCATATCTGACTTGGACCCTGTTACTTCTCCACTCCAACTCCCCCTACTTTATCCTGTGTTCCCTCTCACAGCCCCAGACACACTAACCTCTTTGCTGTTCTTAGAACACCTCAGGGTCTTTGCACTGGCTCTTACCTCTCTGTACCTAGTTGCTCATCTCCCTGACCTCTTTCAGTGTTTACTCAACTGTCTGATCTCCCTATTAAAAGTGTGACTGGTTCTCCTGCCAATACTGCTGATCTCTCTTATTTTGTTCTACATTTTCTTTCTAAAGCATTTATCTTCTTCTACCATACTATCTAGTTGATTTATTATGCTTATTTATTTATTATCTGTCATCACCTTCGAAAATATGAGCTCCACGAAAGCAAGCATTGCTGGTGCATCCCCAGCACCTAGAAGAGCATTGTTGAATGAATTAACAGGCTATAGTGGGGGTTTTTCGAAGGCATCCTGCCCCTCCCCTTTCTGGGTCAGGCCTTTTCAGGGCTTTACTTGAGCTCAGCTCTCCCTCCATCTCTTGAATCTCACCCTCAGCAATTTTATCAGGGAAGATCTTTCAGGTTCTCTAAGCAAGCCTGGCTGCATGAGAAACTTCTTTCCTGTGGAGCCTGCAGGAAAAGCAGTGCAACTAAGTAGAAGAGGGGACACACTGTCACTCTAGGAAATGTTTTTAGGAACTTAATTATCATGGCTTTGAGATAACTCAGCAAAGGAAGTTTTTGAAAGAAGGATTTTGCCTTTCATTTAGAGATCCAATTCCAGTCTCCCAAATATGATCTAAATTTTGCTCATCCATCTAGCTCTGATTCTTCTTCAAGAGGACACACACACACACACACACACACACACACACACACACACACCCCTGCTTCTATCCCTTCAACATAAAATGGAATGTAAACTCCATGAAAACTGGAATCTCATCTGTCTTGTTCACCATGATAACTCCAGGGCCTAGAAGATTGTCACCTGGAAAATCATAGGTGCTCAATAAATATTTGCTGAATGAATGGAAAGCTCAGACCTCATCAGAAGGACCTAGTTTTTCATATTTTCTTATTTTTCAAGAAAAGCCGGATATTCACATGTTAGGTATTCTCTCCCTATGTGGCAATTTATTTAAAATTATTAAAGTACTTTCTTAGTCAAATAAATTACATCTGCAGGATTATTTGTCCTGCCAGCTTCTGGTTTGGAGTCACTGCCCTAAATTCATTGCAGATTCTATGCTAAGTATTTTGGAGGGAGGAGGGAGAGAGGTTGGGAATTTTAAGGGGAAAGAGGTAAGAGAGGAGACAGGGGCAGACTCCTTTTCTCAATGATCAGAGAGTCCCACAAGGAGTAGGGACCCCTACTTTTCTCCCTGACAATGTCTTTGCTGAGGTGGTGAGATTTCAGAAGGGGGCAGGGCCACAGGCCCAGGGGGATTGGGGGTCACAGTTCCTCTTTAAGTTTACGTGAAAGTCGTGGAGAGGTAAAATTCCAAGAGATCACCAGGAAGGCACAATGTAGTTATAAGGCAGGAGGGGGCCTGCCAAATATTTTGGGTGTCCTAAGCATCCCCAGTCTCTTTGCATAACCCTAGTGGATGGGTAGGGGCTGCAGTAATGACTGGACTGGATTTCCCACCAGACTGGAGGGAACAGGACTCAGAGGCACATTAAAACAAAAGTAAATAAAGCTGTAGGATTATTTCTTGTACACCCAAGTTTGTGGACTAATATTCATAGTACGTGGTATTTTGTTTCTGTCAAAGTGGGGAAGACAGATGGGAAGGGAGAAAGTATAACAGACTTGGCCCCAACACAGGCTTTTAGTCTCATGGTCCCCTTGAGTTTTCTTGGGCACCTTTCAGATCAGCCTTGGACCGTGTCCTCCCAGATGAGTCTCCTGGTTTGAACTCCCATCCAGACATCCCGAGTAAGGGCCTCATTTGTTCCAAGGCCCTGTTCCTTAGGAATTTGCAGTCACAGCATTTGCCACATATGTTCCGGCAGCAGGGGTGAGGCCAAGGCATCACAGGCCTCTTATGGTCCGGATGAGTAATGATCAGTGCCAAATGCATAGCATCCCTTGGTTGGCTGTGGCCTCAATCCTCCTAGCTTATAAACAGGAATTCCGAGGCTCTGTGAGCTCAGTCCTGTGAAGAATACAAAACCTTCTTGACCCTTTTCTTGTTCTAAATACCTCTCTCCTCCTCGGTCCTCTTCCTTTACCCCTTTCTCTAAAGAGTGGCCTGGAGAGAAGGAAACCAGCTGGCTTAAGCTGGCAGACAGGGTGAGATTTTTGTGCAAATAATTTTCCATCAAATGGGAGCCAGAAGGTAGAGGTGGAACTGCTGCTTCCATCTCGGAAGCAGAGTTGCTTTCTGGCAGAGAGCTTAAGCAGGCAGCAGCACGTAGGTGCACCTTCCCTTTCGCAGACTCACCTGTCTCCTGGCCCTACCTACAGAAATTCCAAGGGCTTGTGAGTTAAGGCTGAAGGACTTTCCGTAGGGGTAGGACTGCTCTGTGCCGCTGGAATGTTTTCCTTCTCCCCAGAAGAGGTGAGTGCACACAAGTATGAAGTAAACCAAAAAGCTCCCAACTTTTTCTGAGGACTGGCAAACTGCAAAATACATTATGTGCTTGAGCAATGGAGGAAAAATATCCTCAGGTTGAGTCATGCCTGTGCCTTTCTCCATATCTCACCCCTCTAATCCCACCTCCTCATCTTGGATAAGTAAAGGAGGGAAGGAAGGAGAGGGAAGGAGAGGGAGGGAAGCCCCAAAGTCAGGTTTGGAAGTGGTTTGGCCAGGAACCGGGTGTAAGATAGGGAAAACTGTCTTTATTGAGGGCATGAATGTAACTGCCTTGGGGGGATTTGAGGCCTGCTCATGCCAATCACTATTTATAATATAGGGTGTGCTGTATCCACCACTGGAATTCAGACATGTCTGGGCATCTCTGTCAAATTGGTCCCATGAGATAGGCAGGGACTCAGGAATCTACTGGAAGAATCTTCATCCTATGGGGACAGAAACCAAGCACGACGATCTCAGCCACGTAACAGGGCCTTAGACTTCTGAGGGGAGGAGTGACAGTGTGAGCCCAGTGTCTGTTAGACACATCTGTCCCAGTGCTGGCTCCATGCCCTAGCGAGAGAGGACTAGCTGCGAGTGTAAACTCCCAAGATGTCGAGCAGGAGCATCTCTGCTTCGGTAGTCCTGAAACACTTCCTAACTGCACATGTGGACGGGGGCATTCTCCTCCATATGGTGCCATAGATAACCGGTGCCTGTGGGCGATGAGGGTACTATGGGAAGTGCTTTTTGGGAGCCACATCATCGCTGATCGAAATGGTGGAGGGCACATGCAGGTCAGCTCTGAAGACTCCCGGAACAATTTGGGTGGAGTTTGGCAGGGTGGGCATCTGGGATACCACATCAACAGGATTACAGCAGCCACAATAGTAATTCCATCTTGCATTTCAACCAGAATGGACTTTACAGAAATTTTCACATATATGTTTTTATTTGACCCTCATGACCTCCCATGTGGTAGAAGCAAGCGTAATAATCCTCCTCAGTCCCAAGTGGGGCTGGACTTGACACCTTTGAGGACACTTCAGCTCCATCACTCCACCATTCTTGGGGGTTGTCCAAGGGCCCACCTTGGGCTATTCATTAGGTAGGCAAACTTCAGAAGCTGTGAAGTCAAGACACAAGCATTGCCTGGGGGCCTCCTCCCTGCCTCGGGTTCTGAACAGGAGACAAAACAGTAAAGAGGGAGATAAAAATATTATTTTTATTACTGCTAGAGGCTAAGTGGGAAGAAGCAGCTTACAGTGATAAACAAATGGCCCTGCTCTCTGAGCACAGGACTGGGCAGACATGTCTACCCTGTCCCAGGAGGGGACACTTTTCCAGGTAAAACTTTGAGCATAAGAAGGCAGAAGGGAACAAGAAGAAACAGAGGAAGGAGCTGGGTGACTCTGTCTGGTGCCTCCCTCTAACTCACCAACCAGGTGAAGGTGGGAAGGGCCAGGAATGTCACAGGAATGGTTGTCCTTCCACGTGGGAGAATCGTCAGAGTTAGGGAAAACATGTTTCTATATGAACAACTGTACTATATTGACACTCAACTTCTCATGGGGCCAGGCCCTCTACACTGGCAGGAGTGGCTTAGTTTTCTGGCCCATTGAGAGTTCATTGCCATATTAGGATTCTCCAGGGAAACAGAACCAATGGGATATGTAGGAGATATGTGTGAGTGTGTGTGTGTACAGAGAGAGAGGGAATGTTGGGGACGGAGACACCAATACAAGTAAATATACTGAACAAAGTGAAATTATGAAGATTTATATTAATCCTTGGATCAATTAGTACCTCTCAATCATCTGGCATCTGTGGACCATGCCCTGAGTCATGGGGCTTCTTAAATATTTTTTGTATTGAGAACAAGAACAACTTGCTTCCTGATTCAACGGGTAGCAGAAGTGTCTGCTATGTGCAATGCCCTGTGTTGTAGAGGACATGAAGGGAAATGACATGTTGTATCTGTTTTCTGGAAGCTCAAGGTTAAGTTGATGATGGCAAAGCATAACATAATGATGCATTTAAGAGGATGTAAGCCAAATGTTGTGGTTTGAGGTGGGGCTAATTCCCAACTACAGTCTGAAGAAGGCTCAGTGGAAAAGAAAACATTTAAATTGTACATTGAAGAGTGAATCGAATTTTGAAAAGTATAATTTAGGCTGGGTGTGGTGGCTCAGCCTGTAATCCCAGCACTTTGGGAGGCTGAGGAGGGTGGATTGCCTCATCAGGAGTTTGAGACCACCCTGTCAACATGGTGAAATTCCACCTCTACTAAAAATTCAAAAATCAGCTGAGTGTGGTGGCATGTGCCTGTAATTCTAGCTACTTGGAAGGCTGAGGAAGAAGAATTGCTTGAACCCAGGAGGTGGAGGTTATAGTGAGCTGAGATCGCACCACTGCACTCCAGCCTGGGCAACAGAGTGAGACTCCATCTCAAAAAAAAAAAAAAAAAAAAAAAGCAGATATTAAAGAAAATTATATTCCAGGCTAGGTTGAATTTGAGGAATGTTGATAAATCTGGTCTTGCTAGAGTATTTTGTGTGTGTATGTGTTTGGGGGGGGGCAAAGTGGGGAGGGGGATGGTTACAGGGGCCTTCTTGAGGCTGAAATGTGGGAAGAAAAAATTTAAAGACAGAGTTCAGTTGGGAAAGATAGTTTATGGTTACACTGGGAAAGGCATTGAATGTTGTGCTAAGGAGTTAAGACTTCCTTCTGAAGGTAATGGGGTGGCAATTCACTGTTTTTAAGTACAGGATGGACACACAGACACACAGACACACACACACACACACACACACATTCTCTCTCTCTCTCTCTCTCTCTCTCCCCCCCCCTTCCCCCCCCACAGCCTATTGGTTCTGTTTCCCTGAAGAATGCTGACTAACACAGCAATGAAGGATTGCCTTCTGGTAATCAAATGCACGAAGGAAGAATGGTGGTCAGAGCCAGTGCAAGAGCCTTGATCAAAGCTGGGTGAGGACTGACCCATCGCAGAGGCGGTAGAAATGGATATGAGGGCACTCATTGGAGCGGTTTGGAAGGCAGAACCTGAAAATGGATAGGAGTAATTTTGGTTGGCATGGGAGGAAGTCAGTCAGGAGGTTATCCCTATTTTAGCACTCAGCATGCTCTACTTTGTGTCAGTGACTCTTTCTTCCATGTCCCCCAGGTCCCATCAAGATTGAAGGTTTGTTGATGACAGTCAGGGCTTTCATCTTTGTGTGCCCCTCAGCCTTCAGCACAGAGCTCTGGCCAAGTGAGTGCCATCTTAAATGTTAGTGACAATGAAGTGGCCCCAGGAGGATAGAGTGGGGCATGCAAATCACATGGGTGAGGGTCTGTTTGTCACTCTGTGGGTGTGCCACCTGGCACCTGAAGTGAAACTCTCTGCAAACCACACGTGTGGAATGGAGGAGCCTGTGTGGGAAATCCCTTCTTGACACCCATGAGTGGTCACCTCATTAGCATCCCCAGAACAGTAGAGGGAGGGAGCCTGATCAGTAACAGGAGGCCACGAGGGTCCTGCTACTCATCCTGTTCTGGGCTGGGGAAGACAGACCAGTCAGGATTCCTGCTGAGGGGAGCCCAGGTTCTGGCCACTCACCGGCCTAGGACTCGCCACCTATGCCCATCACATGAGCCATAAAAGGATGTGGAAGTTATCATTGGTGATAAATTCTCAGGGTCACCTGTAAGGGCATTTGTCTGGCAGGATGAGGGCTAAATATTGTCTCCTTTTATATTTGATTTACTTTTTTTGGAAAAAGTAATGCATGTAGAAAACTTTTAGAATATTTGAAAGTCCATATAATTAAAAAGATAAATAAAAACACCCATTGTCCCACCACCGAAGATAGCTTTTGCTAAATTTTCATGAGTGTAAGGCAGCATGTCCTTTCCATACATATCAGGTGTAATATTATTTATCATCTACATGGTATACCATATTCATACTATACATACAGCCATTACCAAGTAATGGTGCTTTTTATTTCTTCAGTTAATCACTAGGGTGCACTTCTATCCTCATATGTAGGACGTCCAGGATCTCATCAGTTGCTCTTTTTTCTTCCATTGTTCTGAACACCAGGGGGTCACTCCGTCCAAAGGGAGCCAGACTTTTGGCTCAAACACAGTAGGTGACAAAGCAGGGTCTGATCCAATGAAGCTTATCTTTCTTGCTGCCGCATGGTATCCCTGTTGAAAACTATTTGCCAATTCCATGGCATCTTCAAAGTTCTAGGATATTGTCAGTACTGTTGGACCCACACTTAGGCGGCAAGGGTATAGCTCTCTAAGTTCACACTCTCACTCTCAAACATTGTTCCCAAAGGACTACCATGGGTTCAGATGGCTGCACTGTGAGCCTCTTTCTGCCTCAACCACACACTCTCCCATAGTTGATTCAAACCCATAAGTCTCAGGCTCCAGAAATGAGTCTGAGTCCCCAGCATGGCATCCCTTCACCCTTCTTGTCTTTGGGGCCTTTAGAACCTTCTCCTGCCAACAAAACATGGTCAGGCTTCTGCTGCTCCTGTAATTTTGACTCTTGGGTAGAAAAGTGTAGGAGTCTAGGTTACTTCCTTTTCAGAAGATTCCAAATGCCATATACAAATGGGTTCTTCTTTTCCCCAGAAGTCAGTTCTGCATATGGAGGAATATTTGTCAGGCTACAAAAGGTTTACTTCTATTGTTCGCCAAGGAATGTGCCAAACAACTAAGATCTTCTCTTTTTTTTTTTTTTTTGTTTCGCTCTTGTTACCCAGGCTGGAGTGCAATGGCGCGATCTCGGCTCACCGCAACCTCCGCCTCCCGGGTTCAGGCAATTCTCCTGCCCCAGCCTCCTGAGTTGCTGGGATTACAGGCACACGCCACCATGCCCAGCTAATTTTTTGTATTTTTAGTGGAGATGGGGTTTCACCATGTTGACCAGGATGGTCTTGATCTCTTGACCTCGTGATCCACCCGCCTCGGCCTCCCACAGTGCTGGGATTACAGGCTTGAGCCACTGTGCCTGGCCTAAGATCTTCTCTAAGGTGTCAGAGAGGACACTACAATAGATGGTTGTATGACTGACTAAAAAGTTAGCTGATCTCTCACCTAGGAGGAGAATCGGGCCCTTTTGACAGACGCTTACATGGGGCTTTCCCTTTGGAGCCAATAAAATCTATTGCTCTCCCCACCCGAGTGTTGTCCTGGTGATTTGGGCCTCTCTGACTCAGTAGGCAGGCTTGGAAAGCCAAACATTGCCTCCTAGGGCATTGATGGAGTGCTCAGCTCAGCTCTTGCAATCATCAGTTAAAAAAAATGGAAATGCTTCCAAACCTCAGAGCTGAGGATTCACTCTGAATAATAATTTTATGTGAAATTGACGTACTTTATGTTCAGACTATATCCTGCGTCTTGTCGCTTCTTACCACCCAGGTTCAGGCCACTGTCATCGCTTATCTGGACAATTATAATAACCTCCCAGTTGCTGCTTGCATGCTTTCCCTCTGTTGTCTGTGGTTTAGACAGCAGTCAGGATAGATGGCTCAAAGACCTCCAGTGCCTTCCGACAACACACTAGAATGAAATCCACACTCCCCACTGAGGCATGTGGACCCTCCAGCGTGTGACCCCTGTGAATCTCTCCAATCTTACCCCTTTCTCTTGTTGCTCCAGCTACCTGCTTTTCTTGCTCTTCCTTGAGTAACCACACCTTTTTCTTCCTCAGGGCTTTTACTTGCGTTTTTCCTTCTCCCCAGAATGTTCTTCCTCCATTTCTTCATATAGTTCATGCTCTCAATTCATTAAAAGATGCTCAAAAGTCACTTTTGTATAGAGGACTTTAAAAACAGACACTACCTCCTGACTAATGTCCTTCCTTGCCCCCACCTGTGTCCCTGAATCACACAATTTTTCTTCGTAATTTTTACCATTACCCCCCCACGTTTTATACTTTATTGATTTGTTTCTTTATGTGTTGTCTATCTTTCTGGCATTAGAATTGAAGTTCCTTGAGAAAAGGCCACGTTTACCCTTTCTGTGGTAGAGTCCACTGGTCCTAGGGCAGTGCCTGGCACATAGTAGATGCTTAATGAATGTGTTGTACATGAATAAATGAATAAATGAGACTGTTTCTCAAATCAAATACTCCTTAATCTATTGTTTCTGTAATCTTTTGGGTTTATAAACAGGAATAGTTAGCAATTTGGATAGAGTTTGGCCAGATAGCTCTGTTTCCTATGACACTGGCTGGGGTTATTCATTAATCTGCATTTAGCTGGTGCGTAACATGGGCTGGGAGATCAAAGAAGGCTTCATTCATATGTCTGGTTCCTAGATGCTCTCTACTAGGCCTTTTTTTCTCTGCATGGCTAACTGGGCTTCCCTACATCATGGTGGTCTCAATGATGATTGATTGTACTTTTTACATGGTAGCTGACTTCTAAGAGGGAGCAGCAGTCCACACACTGATTTCTAATATTACCTACTAGCTTTATGACACTGGGAAAATTATTTCCATTCTTTAAACTTCCTTATAGGTTTAAAGTGATATCTTTATAAGAGGAGAATGGAATCCCAGAACTTTATGACCTCTTTGCTAGGGACAGGGTGAGAATTACTTTTCTATTCACTTCCTTTCCACTTATTAGAACTATTGCTAAGTGAGGGATTTCTGACCAGAAGTGCAAGAAAAATTGACATTTCAAAGCTTTATATCATTTAGCCTGGAAAATTCACATTTAAGGACCAGCTTGTGGTTATTGAAGGCAAAGCCCAGGGGCATGAATTAAGACTAAGGGGATCTAAAAGTGCTCTGCATAACAAAGTGACAGAAAATTTCTGTTCTCTAGCCCTGGAGCTGAGAGAGAGAATAAGAGAAAGCTTGCAGTGGGAGGTTGAGATCCCAGGTACATGGCAGCCTTAGGCCTAGGCTCTAGAAGAGGGGGGTTGGCGAGACTGTGATATTAAACTTCAGCCTGTTTCCTTTTCTGTAACTGCTTCCATTATCACCAAACCTTCAGGAAAAGCTTTGTATTGGTATTATGTGGAGGCCTAAGGAGAAGGGGCCATGTTTAACCTTGAATGAAAGAGGCGAGGAGAGAGGACAACATCCAGGAGGGAGAGGGAGAGGGGAGGTAAGCGATGAGCTGACAGCAGGAATTTGAAGAACATTTAAGCCCATCTTAGAAATACTGGAGAAAATATTAGACTTCTCTGGTGTAGTATATTATGTAGGGGCTCAGGCTATTTTACTGGGGAAGACTGACCCCAGGATGCTAGCTAGTAGTGTTGAGGATATTCTGATTATGCATAAAATACTTGGCCCATTACTGACTAATCTTATATGGTGACTTCTGCTATTATTATTCAGAGTTGAAATAACTTGCCAAGGGAAATCAAGTTTGGTGTGGCAACCGGCATTCAGAACCAGGCTTATCTGACTCTTAATATCTTCATTTTTTTCCACTCTACAACATTTCTTTCAAAAACTAGGTACTTGCTACTAAGTCTTTATTCAGAGTATTAAAGTCAAATGAAGCACCTGGTGGCAACTTGCAGCCAAGTTAGATGATGATGCACCCTAGATCACCCAAGGCAAGGCAGGGGCATTTTGGGGGCTGGCTGGGGATTGCCTAAGCACAATCTCTCTTATTTTGGGGTCAAGTCTCCAGAGAGTATGAGGCTCTAAAGTCCGTCTCTGTTCCAGCACTTCTAAAATCTTGTTTATATGCTAATGGTACTCCACCTTCAGCTGGGGTTCTATCATTTGTCAAATAAATAGCTTTGATAATGAGAAAAGAAACTAGAAATGCAAATGAAAGGAGACAAAGAATGTGAGTGAGCTGGAGCAAGTTTAGATGAAACTTATAAATTCCTGCTGAGAGCCACGTTGTCTCATATGTAAACTCACACCTTTATTTTTATTTATTCTGGCATCAAAAGCTTTCCTTGCATTAGTATTGATACTGTTAATGTTTTATGGGATGTAGAGGTCATAGTCACATTGAAATCCTCCTTCAGTGAATGGAGTATTCTTATATTTATTGAAACATATACTGAGTTTGAGTCAGATTGCCATTTACCCTTACCAAAGACCTGAGAATTCTTCAGGGGTGTTGGTGACCTTTAGCGCACCTACCATTGTTAACATACACTCCTCTATGACCCCAGAGAGTGAGACTCTTCAATCCCTTTTCCTTTTTTTCTTTTTCGAGATGGAGTTTCACCCTTATGCCCAGGCTGTAGTGAAGTGCCTCCATCTTGGCTCACTCTGCACCCGGGGTTCAAGCGATTCTCCTGCCTCTGCCTCTGGAGCAGCTGAGATTACAGGCGCCTGCCACCACGCCTGGCTAAGTTTTGTATTTTTAGTACAGATGGTGTTTCACAACTCCTTTCTCTTAACTGAGACCTAGATCTTCTTGAAGACCCAACTTCCTCCGCAGTCTCCACCAATAGATGTGACTCATTCCATGCAGCCTCCTCCCCGGAAAAAGTTGCTGTTTTCCAGACTCCCACCTCCACCTCCAGAGCAGCACTCATTAACCTTCCCATGGAAGCTTTTTTTTTTTCTTTTAGGTCTTATCACCTCACTTACATCATGTTCTTTCCTCCTGGTCAGTGACATCAGCCTATGTCCTAGTTAGTTCCTGTATTAGGGTTCTCTTAGAGGGACAGAACTAATAGAATATATAGATATATATGTAATCAACTTATATATATGGGAGTTTATTAAGTATTAACTTACATGATCACAAGGTCCCACAATCGGCTGTCCACAAGCTGAGGAGAAAGGAGAGCTAGTTTGAATCCCAAAATTGAATAACCTGGAGTCTGATGTTCGAGGGCAGGAAGCATCCAGCACAGAGAAAGATGTAGCCTGGAAGGCTGGGCCTGTCTCTCCTTTTCACGTTTTTCTGCCTGCTTTATATTTGTTAGCAGCTGATTAGATTGTGCCCACCAGATTAAGGGTGGATCTGCCTTCCCCAGTCCACTGACTCAAACATTAATCTCTTGGCCACGCCCTCACAGACAAACCCAGGATTAATACTTTGTATCCTTCAATCCAATCAAGTTGACACTCAGTATTAACCATTACAGTTCCTATCCTTCCTTGATGATTTGGGGATATCTCTCAGTCATTGTCCCTATTTATTTCCCACACAGTCCTAGGATATTTTAACATTTGTCAGGCAGTCAGTCCGGCAACCCAGTCTCCAAACTGCTAGACATTGTTGACTCCCGTGTATTCTGTTCCTTTCTTCATAAACGAACCTTTGCTTGGGCAGTACTCCATGATTCTTCCCTCTGATCCCAATGTCCGGTCCTTGAAATATTCTTCCATTGCACTTTGAACTCATATGCACTTCCTGTCCTTGAGCACTCCATTTTCCTCACATTTTACTAACACCTTTCTGACTACTTTTTTTCTGTATGCAACCTAGATCCCATGGGTTATACAGAGATCTGAACCACTCTTCTGCAAGCATCTTTGATTCCTTTTCATTTTTTATGCTTCTGTTATACCACCTAGTAAAATCCCAACCTCGAATCAGTGGTACTATTACTCCCTATCTCTTTTGTTCCTGCATTGAGAAGAGAGAAAAATATACTGAAAAAATAGTCATATAGTCATACAGTTGGTGTTGGTGTGCTAAAAATTTCATGGTCTCCCATCTCAGCTTGTCCCTTAGCACTGCCTCTCAATCTTTCGTCTTTAGTAAACACATTCTCTCATTTCCTTCAATGACTTTCAAATATGTTTTTCAATCCTCATACTCAACCCCTATTTCTTCACTCTCAGCAGTAAATCAAGGAAATTCAGTGTTATTTCTACCCTTGAATGTAAACTTTTCCACATTTACCTCAAATGTGACAGATACTTACCCAATAGTTGTGCCCAACCATTTTTCCTTGATAGCAGAACCCTGATTTGGCTTAGATATCTGATACCCATGTTCTTCAGGGTGACTGGGTTTTTGCCTAGCCCCAGTGGATTGATCATAATTAGTCTAGCCCAAAACTATGATTACTTCATTTCCTTTGCCAGCACTTGGTTTAGACATGTGAAAAAATTCTGGCCATTGAATGGAAGTCTATTGAGGGACCCTGGGAATGTTTTTCTCTCTCAAAAAATGGAGCCCATAGAAGAGCTCTTTACCCCCGTTTTGTTCTGAATGTAGACTGGAGCTACTGCAGTGGTCTGTTTACTGTAATGGGAGTAGCTGATGTGTTGACAGTGTTAGTACAGAAACATGAAAAGAAACTGAGTCCTTGATGATACTGTTAAGCTACCAAATTAGCCAACCCTACCTGTGACCATCCCATTCCTTGACTTTTTGATGTATAAAATAATGAAGTTTTCTTATTCTTTAAACTTTATGTGGTTGGTTGGATTTTCTGTTGCTTGCAAGCAAAATCATTCTAAATGCTACACTACCCCTTTTTTCTAGTACCTAAAGTCACTCTCCTCTTTTAAAGATCAGTCTCTTCACCTGTTTTCTTAATCCTGTTGCTTATTGCTTTTTAAAAGGCTTTTTATATCATTCATCCCCCTTCCATCCTGCATCTTCTACTTTTCCTTCTAAGTCTGTCAACTTACTTAGGTTCTCCAATGTTAAAAGTTCCCCTTGAACCACATCTTCTAGTTTTCAACAAACCTCTCTTCTCTCCTTGTCATACAAACTTTTTGGAGTCTGTTGTAATTCTCATCTCTACTTCTTGATGTCCCATTTCTTTTCGAGTTACTGAATTTCGCTTCTGGTTCCATCTTTCCATCAATATCGTCAAGTTAAAGTTATTAATGAGGACTTGGGAGGATCATGGCAGATGGGAGGCAGTACTATATTGCAGCTCTGGATAGAGCAGCCTGCGGAGGCTTGCACTGTAAATTTTAGCCTCAGATCAACTGCAAGAACAAACCAGCAATCCTGAGAGGACCCACAGAGCCTCTGAGGGAAGCAGACTGCTCCTGCAGGACTCAGGAGAGACCCCAAATACTGTGAGTACCCCAACTGCTGAAATGGGAAAGGAAGACCTTCCTCTTCTGAACACACACTCCCTGCTGGAAAAGTTGAAGGTCTGTTTGCAGGAGATATCCCCCACTTTACCTGGAACTGAGTCAAGTTAGAGAGCTGAATCAAGTAAAATACAAGGGTAGAGGAGGCAGCAGGGAGGCCCTGGGAACTTGCTGAATCCCCAAGCAGCCCATTCCTGCCTGACACCACAGGGATCCATCAGGAGGGAGGCCAGAGGAGCAGGGGGTAAACCCCACAGGGAGAAGGACTTCCGTAGCTGAACTTTGTACCAATTTGAGTGGGCAAGAAACTCCTGGCCAGAAATTGGGGAGGGTGCAAATCCTGTTTGCAGATGTCACAGGCTGGGGAAGAACTAAAGCTTTTTTCTTTCATAATTGGGAGGCAAAAGCCTAGAGCAAGTTTTCAAGCCCACCCTCCACCTGGAAACAGACTTGAGGCTGTTGCCAGGGGCATGGTGGGAGTGAGACCAACCCTTCGGTTTGCGTGGGAGCTGGGTGAGGCCTGTAAGTGCTGGCTTTCCCCCACTTACATGAAAACCTGCATGATTCAGCAGAGGCAGGAATAATCCTCCTAGGTACACAAGTCTAGTGACCTGGGAATCTAATCCCATCCCCCACAGCAACCACAGCAAGACCTGCCCAAGGAGAGTCTGAGATCAGACACACCTAGCCCTGCCCCCACCTGATGGTCCTTCCCTACCTACCCTGGTAGCAGAAGACAAAGTACATACAATCTTGGGAGTTCTAGAGCCCTGCCCACTGCCAGTCCCTCTCCACACTACAACTGATGGTCTCTGGAAAGTGCCACCTCCTGACAGAAGGCCAACCAGCACAAAAATAGAGCATAAAACCACCAAAACTAAGAACCCTCATGGAGTCCATTGCCACCTTTGCCACCTCCACCTGAACAGGCACTGGTATCCACAGCTGAGACACCCATAGACGGTTTACATCACAGGGCTCTGTGCAGAAATCCCTAGTACCAGCCTGGAGCTGGGTAGGCTTGCTGGGTGCTAGACTCAGAAAAGAGACAATAATCACTGCATTTCAGCTCACAGGAAGCCACAACCACAGGAAAAGGTGGAGAATACTACATCAAGAGAACACACCTCGTGGGACAAAAAAAATCTGAACAACAGCCTTCAGCTCTAGACTTTCCCTCTGACAGAGCCTACCCAAATGAGAAGGAAACAGAAAACCAGCCATGGTAATATGACAAAACAAGTCACTTTAACACTGCCGAAAAATCTCGCTAGCTCACCAGCAATGGATCCAAACCAAGAAGAAATCCCTGATTTACATAAAAAAGAATTCAGGAGCTTAGTTATTAAGCTAATCAGGGAGGGACCAGAGAAAGGCAAAGTCCAAAGCAAGGAAATCCAAAAAATGACACAAGAAGTGAAGGGAGAAATATTCAAGGAAATAGATTAATGAAAAAACAATAAAAAATTCAGGAAGCTTTGGACACACTTTTAGAAATGTGAAATGCTTTGGAAAGTCTCAGCAATAGAATTGAACAAGTAGAAGAAAGAAATTCAGAGCTCCACACTGGGGTCTGTTGGGGGGAAATAGGGGAGGGACAGCAGGGGGTGGGGAGTTGGGGAGAGATAGCATGGGGAGAAATGCAAGATATAGGTGATGGAGAGGAAGGCAGCAAATCACACTGCCATGTGTGTACCTATGCAACAATCTTGCATGTTCTGCATATGTACCCCAAAACCTAAAATGCAATAAAA